AATTATATTTTATTTATGTAATTTTTCATTGTCTCTGAGGAAGGCTAAAAAATGAGCCCAAACATGTAAGAATAATTTTTGCAATAAATATAATAAGTTTTGCTTGATAAATATCAGCGTTTGCGTAAAGTTATCTGCGCCTAACTCCTAGTGCCCTTTTTCTTTCCAAGTTAATTTTGTATACAAAATAATTTCCAACATGTTCCGGCATTTTAGTTCATCGACTAAATCCGTGCTCACCGAATATTTAAAGTCGATTTTCTTTAAGTCTTATTATAGGTAATATATGATAAAAACACATTTAATTTCTTCCAGTTTTCGACTTATTTCTTTTTTTTTTTATGTAGAAAAAATTCACTCTTTCACATACAATGTAATTAATATTTATTTTCGTTTCTGTAACAAACAACAATTTATCCGAACGATAGCGAATAACTTATCTATCCTACAGAAGTCGAAGGTGTCTCGCTGCGAATTAATCTGCGGTACTCGCACGCTATCCAAACATCAAATTGAACGATACATATCCTGTATGTGGTCCCGTGAAACTCTTCGCACAATACGATGGTATTCCACGATAAAGTGTTCGGTACGATAAAGCGATCGAACGGATGTCGAATATACATCGATCGACATTCGCGCGATGATAAATGCACGGTGCTCGGCGTACGACTGGACCCCATGTATGTACTTATCTATTAAACTGATCGTGTAATCGCGCACTTGTCCCTCGAACGTCATCAATCGTCGCGGCAACCTCTCGTAGCTGCACTCTCCTTTGAGAGCTAATACTTGCCGGCATCGACGTCGCTAGTATACGCGTATATACCTCTAATAATAAGATCATTCGCGAGAAGTAAGCGCGCGCGGCCTGAAACGCGTGTCGCCGCACACTAGGTATGAAAAAAAGAATCTCGTCATTTAATTACGGCACATCTAGAACGTGTATAGCTCGTAACGACCGACGCTAATATTAGTGCACCATTCGCGGAAACGCGTTTCCGAAAAGCGATTAACGCGCGGCACTCTTTACTAACTTCGCGTTAAGCGCCAAGCGATCTCGTTCTCTCGGATGTAAGAGCGTGTGATCGTAATATCCAAATGAGCTTTAACGTTTCACTTAATTCCGACGTAAAGACTACGCGACGAAAGTCCCCGCGTTACGATAAATAATACATTTGTGCTTATGACGTGTTGGTGATTTTAATTAATATTTAAAATTGAAGCGCTTTTGACAATAATAAAATAATATCTCGAGCGCAGCGTTTATGACAAGCGGCGTCTCGACTTTCAACATAATTCAGCAAAGACGGTCGTATATAATATTTCGTTAAGGTGCGTCTTGGTTTCTAATAATACATATTTCTCTGTGTGAATTTTTACAATTTCTAGTTCCAGCAAACTGCGCGTTGAATATTTATCAGTCTTGAAACACAATTCTAAACTGAAGCTTGGAATACGTAGAGGAAAAGGCTCCTATTATGAGATACTGAGTTTACTTTAAGTAAATGCTAGAAGTTTGTAGGCAGAATTTAAAAAAAAAAAATAATAGGTCATTTTGAAGAGAATTTAATAAGCTTTAAGATGGCGTTATGTAAAATATTTAATTCAAATTTTATCTTATTTTTTAATTAAAGAAATGTAAAAGGTGAACAAATCGCAAAGTCAAAAAATTGTGCTCCTAATATGAGATATCCCGAGAAATCGATAATAAAGCACAAAGTACATCAGTGTTAGAATTAAAAAAAACTTTATTTGATGTTTCTAAAATATCAACGACGAGTACAGCCTGTGCGCGTAAATTGAGCATGTGATGCATTGTACTCAGGATTTGTCTTCAGTATAGTAATTAGAACGAAGTATTGTAGAAACAGACCCTTAATGTTCATTCCGGTTATTCTTTTTATTATTGCGCAATTACATTTATACTTTAACATCGATTTTTACTTGGACACAGAAGTATAGATTATTTCATATTAGAAATATCCTGGGTATCTCATATTACGAGTATCGCGTCTTACAGTTTTACGATCATCAAATCTAACTTCTTTAATTAAACGATTCAACATATTCCGTATTTTTCTATCAGTACGATCTTACTCTATTACTACATGAAGAATTTATTGCCAAATAATTACTTATTAAATAACGAACAAAGATTAAAGGCTTATTTCAATGAAATTTGAAAAAACATTCAAATTCTAAAATTTTATTTTACAATTACTGTAGGCATGATCTATAACAATGAATTTTTCACTAAACAGTTTTCAATCCAAGAGCAATAATTTCATGATAGAATCAACAGATAGCATTTATTAGTTTAGCAGAAACGCCGCTATCTCATATTAGGCGCTTATCTCATATAATAGGGGGCTTTCCTCTAATAATAACACACGTACATTAAATTGGAACAAGCAATTTGAAATTACCGATGCTAATAAGTATGTTCAAAATATTGTAAGAAATGTTATTTTATTGTTTCCTAAAATTCCTATCTCGACACACAAAGAAGATCACAATACAAAGTAGAAGATGGACAGATTCGTGAGTTTCTGCAAATTCTAATGGCTTTGCAGATTATATCAAACACGTGACGTAATGAAATAACTGGTTGGCTCCCGTTTGGTGAGAACAGTGCGAAAAATATTGCGGGTAATTACAAAATATTTCCGGTCGCTGCTTATACAAGCCATTATTATTGACGTTACGAAGAGGTGTGTCACGCGCCGGGCAGAACGGAAGAAACGGCTGTTCGCCGCGTGGTAATCTCTCACATGTCGCTTCGGGACATCGCAGATGCGTGATCCACGAGTGAGGAATCAATATAGAAAGTTAAAGATCGTCATAACACGTCGATTCAGGTCTTTAACACCGCGATCTCGACCGACACTTTCCGTCATGCGAAAAACAACGGACGCGAAGGTGTCTACTTTTTTGTATGTCGGTTATTATTTGTCGAGACATTTGCGTGAAACGAAAACGTAAATTCGTCGTTCGTTATCCCTCGTTATTATTAACGTGCTAAATCAACGCTAAATATTGATCGAATCAATTAACTCGCGCGTCCCGTTTACATATATATTGTTGAATTAGCGCGATTGAAGATATAACTAAATGAAATGATGTGAATTTTAAGAACACACTAAGTATAATATATCATTAATCAGATGCCACACAGATATCGATAGATATGATACTATGTTAAATATAATGTTGAAAGTAGCTTCTATCGCGTATCGTGTTGTCGCAAATTACAATACAATTTGCAATTTACATTCGATTATTAAATTGCGCCGTTTAATACCAGGAATCATGTTTTGTCATCGTAATACTTTTTTCTTTCAATTGTGCATTCATGTATTCTTCGTAATCTTTTTTTTGCCACCTCTTACGTCTGTCGTGTTAATATATTCAATGATTGGTTTATTGAAATGTTGGTCTGCACGTCTAATGCCCGTATCACACTAGCGACGTTCGCGATTGCATCTTTCAATCAGACGAGGCCAGCAGCTTCTTTTTGATTGGTTAAAAGACGCAAACGCGAACGCAGACGCAATCTCCAATCGCTAGTGCGATACGGGCATAATATATTAAGATACTCGTAAATGACCCGTCACTTACGATGCGGCGCGCATCGTTCCGAAAAGATCGCGGATCCTTCGTATTCGAGCGAGCGAGCTTAGATTAGCGTTCGCTGACTCGTATTTTTGGCACCTGCCACACCTAATGCGCCACGAAATTCGAAACACGCGTTCCGTATGTCAGGTTACAGGGACTATAAAAGGAGTAAAACGAAGCGCTACTTCGGAAAGAGAGTCGAGCGCGCGGCCGGATCGCTTCGTGACTCTCTCGAAGTGCATCAATCAAAATTAAAACTCGTATTCATCACCGATACTTAACCGATTACGAAGCGATAGGTTTTGCAAGCGTGTCAACAGACACGCTTCGTGTACACGCTTCCACGTTCTCGTTTCGCGGGGATCTAAACGCGACGTAACGGTGGTATATTTTAAGCGATCTGAAAATTGCACGGTCGAACATCCGAAACTCATCGTCAAACGATTTGCATTTCTTTCGTACAGCTCATTATATCACGGTTGGATATTTTTTTTTTTCACGAGAGATTGATGTTACCAGAAATCGCCGTGAACGTTGAAATTACACGTCGCAATTAAAGGCGCAGACGAAAAAAAATAAAATATAAGATTGTTCGATCAAAACTATTTTAGCAAGTATATTTTAGTTAGATGTGATGTTCCCGTCGCTCGACTTGAATCCATGAACGTCTTGTATTCGCGCAAAGTAAAACACACAGCGTACCGCGTAAAAACTTTGCAAATATATAGTGTGCCCAACATATGTATATATATAAGTGCTGTGTTAAGAACAGTATTTTGCCGAGCGAGAATTACTTAATGGGAAGATCAGCGATTCAGATAAATAATAAGTATCATTACTGGAACTCTCTCTTTCTCTCTCTCTCTCTCTCTCTCTCTCTCTCTGATTCTTCATTTAATCTAATCATGTCTGATAGAATAATCAATTTTCAAACAATTTCGTATACGTTATCATCAATCAATCATTAACCAATTATTTTTACTAAGACACGAAGGATAAAATATACAAACAGAGAAAGTATTCTATACATCTTTTTCACACAAGGCTTATTTTATCCACATTGTGAGTAGATAAAATATAATTAGAGTATTAAGCCATTCTCTTAAATAACAGTTGATTTTACAAAACTGTTTATTAATAATTAAACAAATCGTAAAACATGTTACACAGATTTCATTGTAGAAAACAAAATTCATTTCTATAGAAAGATTTGTTGCTTCCACGTTTCGAGAATTATCGTGATAAATTAATTTTCCTCAAACTACTCTTGTAATTTGTAATCATAAATGTAATCCCACATGTGCATGAATAATATAGTATATTAATTACTACAAATTCGAGCACGAACAAAAGAGATGTGAAGATCTGTGTGAAGGTTTTACCTTGACTGTGTTCGCCCGCGTCGAAGGTTTTGCTGGTCATTTGGAAGAGTGCGTCCAAGGGACTGCCCTGGCCAGTAGTTCTCTTGCCGTTTTGGCCAGCGTGGGATCCGTGCTGCTGCGGCATTTTCCTCTTGAGCTGCTGCTGCTGCTGGGACTGCTGGAGCGCCGGGTGATGCAGGCCGGGATGAATGCCCGCGTGATGAAGCGCGGCGTGATGATGATGATGATGATGGTGATGATGGGCGAGGGGGTCCGGGCTACCGGAATCCGACACGGAGCTCCTTCCGGACGATGAGGAGCTGCTGAGGGGCGGCTCGCTGATGGAGCCGGACATGGACGCGAGTGACATACCCATCAGTGAGAGGTCCCGAGGCCCGGTCGCGTGACTCGGATGACTACTGTGATGATGGTGGTGCAAATGGTGGTGATGGTGCTGCTGTTGCTGTTGCTGCTGCTGATGATGATGATGCTGCTGCTGCTGCTGCTGTAAATGGTGACGGTGCTGATGGCCGAGGCCGGAATCCGTCGTGTCCCAAGGACGGACGATCTTCGCCTTCGGTCGATGCGACAGAATATCGAGGATACTGAAAGACTTAACACCCCGGTCATTGGATTCCCGTTCCCTCTCGTCCTCCTCGTCCGAATGCTGCATCGGCACCATCTTCAGGCGTTTCAGCGGCTTGAAGTAATCGTCCGTGGTAGCAGCGGCCGCCGCTCCGTTGCTACCGGTCCTACTGTCCACCTCGTCCTCCTCCTCCTCGTCCTCCTCGTCGTCTCTGAGAGTCGTGACCGAATCGCCGCTCTCGCGAGTCCTGCTGCTCGTTCTGCCGTTCGACATCCTGTATTCTCCGTTGCGGGAGTAATCTCTCTCCTCGTCGTCCTCCGTCATCGAGTCCCGCGGATAGGTTCTCCTGGTAGGGCTCAGACGGTCCGCGTAATCCTCCCTGGAGGAGGCCAACTCGTCTTCCGTATTGGGCGTCGCTACCACCAGCGGCAGCGGACTCGGACAGCCTACGGAAATCTCGTCCTCGTCGTCTTGGACGTCCCCCCGAGCCGGTGAGCCTCTGCACGACGTCCGTCGGTGCGCGGACGAGCCGGGCGTCACGACGCTGGAAGATACCGCGGTTGTCGACGGCGACATCGTGTACGATTCCGTCATCTCCGTGGTACACATGCCGCGCGCGCGGATATATGTAGAAAAGGAGCTGAACTGTAAGTAAGCTCGAGACACTCGCCTGGTGGCTTTCGACAGCCAGTCGTTAAGCGAGGCCACGGCAAGCGTTCATCCCTTCAAGCGCCGCGCATTCTTTTACGATAACGCACTTTAACGTCCTAAAACTGTTCACGGGTTCACCACGCACAGTCTCATTCGCCGCGGCCTAACATGTTCAAGTCCTAGCCGATCTCCGCGGAGAGAGCTACCACTATGGCTCGAAACCAATCGTACTAATCGCTATCGGTGATGGCCTGCTGTCAACGCGCTCGCATTCTCCGTCATCGTGCTCCGTCGTCGCACGAGTCACGTCATTTGCCTTCCGGGTCCGTCTCCTATCTCTCGTCGGGACATCTCTCTCGAGCACCGCAATGGCTCTCGCCAAATGTCAATCGTTCCATGAAAAACGTCCGCTCGCGGTCTTCTTTCCACTCTAGCGCACTGCCACCGTCGTCGTCCGTTCGAAACTCAACACCAATTTATGATACCGGAGCTTCATAGCGAACGGCGCTCTCTGGAGCTGGGGCTCTTTCCGTTCTCGTCCACGTATGTCCTCAAACGACAACCTGTTTCTGCCGAGAGCAGAAACTCGACAACAGATCTCAGTCTCCTCTTCGCTATCCTCACTGAACACCAGCACACAGAAATAGAGAGAGAGAGAGAGAGAGAGAGAGAGAGAGAAAGAGAGAGAGAAAAAGAGAGAGAGAGAGAGAGAGAAGAGAGGAGAGAGAGAGATAACCGTGCTTCACTATAGGATATCCGCAGCGAGCGAGATACGCGCGCGAAACGTCAATATACGTGGACGTTTAACGAGTTTCGACGCTAAGGAGGCAGCCGGGTGTGCCTCCTCTCAGGCCAGTCGAAGCCGGTGACGCGAAATGGTACGGTGGACGGGGATCCCCCAACGCCCGGTGTTGGGGCAGGCGCTTACCTCGCGACCGGCTTGGCGCACGCGTAGAAGGACGGTGGAGCGGTTCGAATCCGGCAACACGCTTCGAAGCCGCTGCCACGGCACCGGGTACCACCTCCGTCACGAGAACGCGCCCCTTTGGCGGTACCGTGGGCCGGGCGACGTCGGACCCCGCCCACGGTGTATAACCCAACGTAGCCCAGGCACGGCAAAATGACGACGACGCCGCCGCCGCCGCCGCCGCCGTCGTCGCCGCTGCCACGGGATGGAATTTTTACGAGACGTACTTAACATCCCGCAGCGTCGCGGCGGGCGCGACCGTCCTTCCTTCCTTTCACCCCTCTGCTCCTTCCTCTCTCCCTCTTTATTCTATCCTGAAGTAGCTCCTATCTTGCGCTCCTCTCTCTCTCTCTCTCTCTCTCTCTCTCTCTCTCTCTCTCTCTCTCTCTCTCTCTCTCTATCTCTCTCTCTCTTTCTCTCCGCCTCGAAAGGTGCGCGTTCTTTCGCTCGAGAATGACGTGGGGGACTGACCCTCCACGACGCGGAGGGCGACTAACGAGGGCCCACCGTGATTTCGTCCCACCCGGGGTGCCGTGGATTTCGGCCTCCGCCGCGAGCGGCTCTTGGGAACGGATTATCGGGCGGGATGTTAACGGCCGCGCGTCTCGATCACGCGGGACGGACGACTTTGCGGGAGAGAGAGAGAGAGAGAGAGAGAGACGTCTGATAGCGCGCGATATATTCCGCACGAGGAACCGACCCAGGACTTGGGTCTTCCGTAGTATTATGCATTATACATTATGCGCGCGCGCGTAACATCTCTATAATTTGCGTTTGTCAGTTACTTCCTCTATTATTATCCGCGTCTTTCTACTTGCCTGCATTATCGCACGGCTATTTCAGTATAAAATATAAATACGCGCGACATAAATAACGATAAAGATATATATTTTCGGTTTTTCTTTTTAAATGCGTATTTGCGCGAGGCCTCGCAGATGAGTTAAGCCGGCAATGCCGACGTGTAAATTATACCTGCCTCGCGAAGCGACAAAGTTATCGCCTCGCTCTCGCTGGTGAGATGTAAACGTGAATTATATTGGACTGTGTGTGTGTGTGTGTGTGTGTGTGTGTGTGTGTGTGTGTGTGTGTGTGTGTGTGTGTGTGTAGTATACAAAAATAATAATATATTCTACGATCCACAAATGTTAAAATTAGATTATCGTCTTTTTCGACACGCGTATAGAAAAGAGAAATTCCGTCTCTCGTGCGTAAAATGTCGCGACAGATTCTCGAAGACCGTAACGTTAATCCACCAAGCGGGAGTTACACCTTGATGATAGATTTTTTGCCGTAAGCTGTAAACGATTGCTAGAGTATTTTATAACGTTTATAGCCGTTATAGAGACCTACATATTTAATAATACTGTCAATACCAATAAGTACTCTGGATTGATATGTGTGTGTGTGTGTGTGTGAGCTGAATTTCTTCAGTCTCGAGCATCACATCCTCTATCACAGCGATACTGCGACGTTCGAGAATCAAGAAATCCGGATCACCATATAATAATATTGTCAATATTTACATTGGTATTGATACAAATTATTGACCGTGTAAAGCCGTAATTACCCTAGCGATTGCGCGATTGTGATTGAGGATTACTTCTCAACCAATCGGAACAAAGCAATCGGTGACTGCTTTGCTCTGATTGGTTGAAAAGTAATCCTCAATCGTCAATCGCAATCGCTCAATTGCTAGGGTGATTACGGCTTAATGTTTATAATGTACATAAAACTGAGCAGAAATAATGTTAATAATATTGATTGGATAAGATTAGAGTGATGTGTATTATCAGTACTAATTTAATATTACTTTGATCAGTATATATTATTGATCGTGTAAGGTCCGCGATAAAAGAATATCGCATCTATTGTATACAGATTATTATATATATCTACAGTCCGATTTGAGGATCGATTTAGCTATGTATAATAATTGCGGCAATCTTCGTTGGCATTGCTCGATATACATACATATATTACCTCTCTATTATAAATGTTATTATTGAATTGCAAGGGTTGAAAACTATTGCACGTAAGGCAAATAAAAAAAATTCCGTGATATTTTTTTTTCATCAACTATCTTAATTGTTTCTTGTAAGAAAATACCTGTAATGAAAATACCTAGTGAAACGTTAAATAAATAAATAAATAAGTAATTTGTGTGTGCAAAGTGTAAATAGAGATATAGAAAGAGATCTTCCATTATCTTGCGATTAAGAATAATTATTTAGTTTTACCTATAATTTACAAAATTTGTACAAGTTGAAATAATCATTGTAGTAATTCATAATATTTTGAATTATTAATTTATTGTCAAATAAGAATATTTTTATTTTATTTTATTGCATATTAGAGTGGATGTTGCAATTTGTGGGCAAACTTATACAGCAATTCCAAACAATCCAGACCGTAACTCATTGTTGTCATCGATCTTTTGTACGAATTGACAAATAAAGAAAACGCGAGCGTGTACGTTCCTACTGAATAGGTTTAATTTAAAGAGAATAGAATCGCGAAGACCACTGAATTCTATGGCCCTTGTCATTTTTGTTCTTTCCACATGTTCGCGGTTTTAGCCGATATAGAAATTGCTCCACCTCGAACGCATCCGACGGGTCGTTATATGTATACGTGCATGTTGTGTCTCGAGTATATTTTTATGTTCTTCGATTTCCATCGATAAAGATTGAAAGAACATCATAAATCATATTATATTTAATTATTTCAATTTTATAAAAAAAATTAATAAAAGTGATTATTTAAGTACAGTATTGATCGTCATTAAATTATAGGGGAGAATGTCCTAAATCGGACCGTTTTAATTTAAATAAATACGGTTAAGAAGATTTGCGTGCTATTTATAATGCAAAGTCCTTATAAGACACTGAACAAGTAACTGCAGTTTGGCAGTACTCCGTCATAACGTTCAAAGAATAGACGCAAATATGGTATGTATTTTTGGCTGTCATGAGAAAATGTTTTCAAAAAAAGAAAATCCTTGTAAATCATTATTTGAAGAATGTTAAAAATTTGAACGGTAATTGATTTAAGATAATCAAAGAGTGTAGAATTCAAAAATATCAAGAGTTTTGTGATTACCTTTGCGGCTTATTATAAAATTTGTTCCAATCGTTCGAAAGAATCCGTGTCCAAATCGGATCTATGTATACAAAAAACACTAAAAAGACGAGTAAGCCAGTTGATTCATCGGAGAAAGAAGCTTCGCCACAACTTGTAGATTGTAGTACTGGTGATCGATCGACCAGATTGATGTAAGAAACACTATAAATCAATAAAATGTCGTGTGTCATCAGACTCAGGTGGATGGAACTTTTTATTGATTTTAATTCTAATAATATAAACTGTATTTTTATCTTCGAGTCTCAAATTGCTCGTTTTTCCTCAATACTAACAAAAGTTAATTAAAATATTTTAAAATTCTATCTAAAAGTCCATAAAAAAAAAAAAAACTATGAGTTCCAAATCGGACCGGAAAATGCATTTTCCATTTATACAGTTCGACCCAAGTAAGAGATACGTCAAAATAGTCTGAAGCGAAAAAAATGAAGGAAATTAAATGATCTTTCGAACGGCAACCATTGGTTTTATAATCGAATTTTATTTACGCCTTATAGAGAATAAAAACTGCAAATAGCAATATAATTCGAAATATACATAATTTTAATCTTCCTGCTCGATATTAGCAGGACAAGATATGAAAAATGTTCACTTATTATAATTACTTGCAGACGAAAGTTAATTGCCGCGTGTTATGTAAAAGAAACGTACAGCAAAAATAATTGCGTGAAAATTCATCTTACGTTACATAGATATATACCTGTACTTCGATCGTATATATGTATACGCCAACGCGATATTTCTCTGTCGCATTTCTATACGTCGTAAATTGATATTACCTGCCGATATTTGTGATGCAAATGTGAAATTTATATAATACCGAGAAACAATTTGCTTTCACCGAGAGACGAGC